TGATATGGTCCAGTCAGCTGGGCAAATGTTTCCTAGACTGCACACAGTAAGCTACGGAAAGGGTCTTTAATGGCCCGAGAACAGTGCGTAGAGTTCCGTGGGTATTCCGTCCTCGCCGGGAGATTTCCGCTGCTTGATATGGTTGATGGCGATGAGGACGCATACGGACATTGCATTTGAGGGCTATTGAGAAGACTGAAGTGTCCCACACACCCAGACATTTTTCCTTGAACATCAGAAATGAGGTCGTTGAAGGCGATGCGCAACACGGACTGGGTGACGTGTTTCTTGCCCGATTCTGATCGTATAAGTCGGAAAAGGGTCTTCGTGTTGTCTAGGTTGGTTGCTGTCTCCATTTTTGTAGTCATTCCAGTAATTTCATCCATCGTTTCTGGCCGATCCTGTTGCTTGTTACCTGAGTTCGCAATAAGCAGAGTATTGAGCAAGGCGCGCCTCTCTAGATAGTGTGGTCGGATATCCAGTTCATTCAGGCATTTTGAGGGGACGGTCTTCCTGTGAGCTGTTATATGGAGCCTAACTTCTGCCTGAATTAGTGCGTGATCAGATCCGCCTTTGCTCCCGCATTTAGCCCCGCGATAGGAGCGTCTTCAACCGAGAAAACCCATCGTGAACGGATAAGAAGGTAAGCTAATGTGCTGTTCGTCCGTCGTTGGAGTACCACGTCGGAAGTTGCTTTTTTTGGATGTTGAGACTGAGCGTTGGTAATAAACATTTGATTATAATCAACGAAGCTCAGTAGTCTGTTGCCTCACAGCGATGGCCCAGACCAACCCTTCCTAGGAGGTGCTTCGTGACCTCTTCTTGCGGGACAGTTCGAGCGTTCAAATCCTCTGTTATGACAAGTACATCCCGTTCAGGTAATATATTGACTACCGATTGAAGGCTGCCATAGGACTCATCCTTGATGTAGCTGTCAGATGGGAGAGTTGGAGCGTAGAAAGGGATTACTGAGGTTCGTACTACTGCAATCCAAGAGCATACCTGTTTCTATTAAATGAATGCTTTGTTAGCCCGGTGGTTTAAAGCAAGTGCCACTCCGTGCTGACCCGACTTTTCATCGACACTGCCATACAACCAGTATTGACTATCGATGCCAGGGATTTCGACACGTTCGGAGTCGGAGCCGGCTAATCTGACCTCAGATAGGCATGCAATATCCAACCGATAGTTATGCGGCGCACGTATCGTTGGCTCCTGACTCCCGGCATTTAAGTGTTCTTACATTCCAGTATCCAATGAAACAAATAATTTAAGGTGTCCAGTGTATATATTTTTCACCCGAGCAACTGGAGGAGCACAGGGCGCGTCGCCTCCCGGGAACGCTGCATCTTGATTAGCGAGACAGGCTAAGTGAATATCCAAGAAATCCCTTGGGAGTTAGGTACAGTAAACGTCACCAGTGTCATTCGGCTTTAGGGTGAGGTGGCATCTCAGTCAGTGAAGTATCTGCTTTATGCAACCCGAAAATGAATATCCAGCAGCCTTCGCACACATAAGTGCTAACTGAAAGGCAGCAGGAAGGTAGCTCATGGTTCCCGGTGGACCTCTAGGGGAGGGGGCTAATACGCTATTGACGGTTTTTAATTGAAAATGGATCCATGCATCCCTGATAAGTACGGCATCATTACCTTGACCGTTGAGTCGTCTAAGCGACTTAGTCCGCCCACCGCGTACGTTAGACACCAACTCGCCGGGAGTTGAGCCTTTAGTTACCCTCAACCTGGTTTGGCCCGCCTATCGAGTGGTTTACTGGGGTGCGGCTGCTGTTGTATCCAGATAGCTTTTTGGAGCTACAGGTGAGAGCTTAGCGCCTCGTGGAGACCAAAGAACGGAGGATCCCCCAAAGTGGCTAACAGCCCCCCGAGCCGGGGGGTGGGGTATACAAACACCCATACATACATGATCAGTGAAGACAATTTGAGTGAATAGTAACCTCTGGGCCGTTCAACAGAAAAGTAGGCACATACCGACATGTTATTAAAGATCAAGTGATGAGTTAAACAGACAGAAAAATCACTGTAATGTGCTCTGTGGGGTTGTTTAGACAACAGCAAGTAACGTATTTGGGTGCGTGAATGGATAATAAGTTTTCACATCGAATGCAGATTAGTAGACTTCGCCGATTACAACTGTTCTTGCGCATGCCTGCCAGTAGTCTACCACATTGTGTCTTGGTTGCAGTTGGTGTCCCACTATGGAGGTCAACAAATGACACCGAAACGATGCGAGGAGAAATGCACTGGGAGAATAGGTTTAGTAGGACCCTTTTGTATTCAAGGGTGGTGTCCGAAAGACTTCGTAACTGGTTAATTCAACTTAATACTTCAAACACGAGTGAACGTTATGTAGACACCTTCAAAGTACTACTCTTAATTTCCAATTCCATTGCGGGAACGATAATGATAGCAGAAAAGCCCTTCTGCTATAATCCCATACGTGGAAAGCACTTGAGAAAATTCAAAGTTCCACAGCTCAAGAATCGAATNGAATCGAATACACCTGAAGAACAATCGATTTGAAGTAGGATAGACATAAACATGTTGCACTGTAAACCTTTGGGCGAAAGCTCACAGTGCCCTCTGAAATTACGGACTTTATAGGATGGGTACAGCGACAGCTACAGAAACTCAAAGGGAAAATACCGGGGATAACTCATTGTCAATGGTCCCTAGGGCAACTCACCAAGTTCATGGGGGAGTTCATGACATAGCACAGCAATTGAAGTGGACAATCCACCACGTAGGTCGTTGGCGAAAGCTGCTCCGATTGCGATCCCATCACAGAAGTTGTGCAGCCCATCACCAGCGATAATAGTATAGGCTATGGCTTTTACTGAACTCAGATCGTGACTGTGACCGTGATGATGGCCGTGTGGTTTGTCTCGATGTGGATGGGTTGGTTGCTGGTCCGTGTCCTCCAGAAAGACTGTGGGCGAGTTGGCCTATGAAAAAACAAGTATGGATAGATGGAACAGACTTCAGAAATTACGAATGAATGAAAGGATATCACCATTGCCATTCATCGATTACCGAATGTATAGTCACCTTGAGCGCTGGATTAGGAGAGGCAAACACACCATAACAGTATGGTATTTGGTTTCAAAAAACACTTCACAAAAACAAAAGATGTCACCTCAGCTGGTGATGAAACCTTTTCAAACTAAATGCCAAGCTCGGCGAACGGGTGAAAAGGAATTCAGTTCATTCGAGCTAAGAGAACCGGTTTGCAATACTTTGTCAACGATAAACCGCGTTGGTCCATTTTATTCCTTGCAATGCGTTTATGAAATTCCTTTCAAGTCAATGAGTATACATCTGTAAAATCATAACAGTAATTACCTCTATGACGATCGTCTAATGATGATAGGCATATATATATCCAGGTTGTGAACAAGCCTGATGTCGATGCGACAACAATAATAAATAAATAAAATGAATGTTTTTTACTTCCTTTTTTATTTATTAAATATACCAATGTGCAATCAACATTCAGGAAGGGAGGCCGCGGCCATACAAAGGTTGTCTGGGATATGATAACAGAACGAACTTTCCGTACTAATGGAGAGAATGTTGCATGATACCAGGTATCAATCGTAGCTGGTAGTGCCGAAATACAATTAAATAAAGACCGATGTGTTTCCCGCAACTGATTTTAACCTCTTGCTGGTCGTAGACGATAAGTGAAATACAACCAGCTGTATGAAGACATTTGAACATCAAGTGCTTAGCACGATAAAATGGGTCGAATGGAGTCTTCTCAAAGCGATAGCGTTTTCATTAAAGACTGTTACAAAATTCACAGTGCGGAGCTGTCTAGTTGCAATCCTTATCACAGCTTTGCACAGATCCCTTGGCGATGGTTGGCCAAATGAGTAAATATGTCAAAATTTCGAGACTGGTAGTTCCCGTATTGTATTAAAGGTCGTCTGGAACACCAAATGGGAATATATTAGCAAGGCGGCGTGCACAAAGTTGGTCAGCAGCATACACTGTGCATGGATGATTTCGAGCAAAAGGAACAAGCTTTAGTCAACTGAGGTGAAAGGATTGCTGCTAAGAAAAACCTCTTCTCATCTTTTTGTCTCGCTCTATTTGGATATAAATTTAGATATCTAATATTTTCAAACTAAACGAATTACGAAATTTTTTGGCTTTTTGAGTTGAAGTGGTGGCGTTCTCATTATGAGAACCGGATGAGAAAATGCAAGTGTCAACATAATTTTGGTGCACACTTTTGATACATACTTGTTTTTGCCAAGCAACCATGTCACTTGCAGCAGCATTGTTCTCAACAGATGTAAGGCCTACCGATGCACCACTGGGGGAGAGTATTGTGGTCTTCTTGATTGTCAATCCTTCTGCAGTGGGCTCTTCCACCCGAGAAGCTGGCGTGCCAATGCTTGCCGTGGATGTAAGAGGCCAAAAATGTGGTGTACTCCCAGTACCGTGTTTTGTGTTTGATCCAGCAGGACCAAGTGTGCCAGAATGCGTCCGAACAAACACATCAGCTGCGTACGGAAGTAAGGTAAAAGACAGGAGTAAATGGAGACTCAAACAACTTCTCGCGCCTCTGATAGGTGATGATACGAACAAAAGTAGCAACAATAGCAGCAATTATGATGTTTTGCCAAGCGTCAGTTTTAATCTTACGGGGGCCATGGGTCTATTCAAAATTCAAACATATGGAAATGATCAGAAGTAGTCAAAAACGACACCCTGGTATATGGACTCAACAAAGAAGAACCGGTTTTGAAGTGCTTCGGTTCATACTTTGTCCTGTATATGGTTATTTTTCATTACATTTGGAATAATAATAAACATTTTCTCAGGTTTGAGGTATTCGAATGGCTTATTACCAATCACCTTAGCTAGAATAATTAGACAAACAGACTGAGATGTTGATGAATGGTGGGTGTTAATCGTGGGAAGGAAATTTCCACAGATATGGTTAGTTTAAATTGTATAAGTTACTATGACTAGCAGAGCATAAGTACTGTTNTACTGTTGGCGCACCCATCACGACGAGACTACACCATGATGTGGAGTGATGGCTTGTGCGCCTCTCGGACCCAACGAGCTGAACTGCAAGGCTTTTGTCAAGCCGCAGATCTAATCATGCCTGGAGGGCCAACAGGTCGAGGTCAGACCAAGTCCAGTCTCCCAGTCCTCCAGGTTGGGCGTTCGACTCGAGTTAGCGTCTCAGTGATTAAAATGGTAGAGGAGTAATGGATCCAAGTAAACGGGCCTCTACTTCGCTTTACCCGTTGCCTTGCGGTCAGGTTCTTGTTAGCACTTGGAAGAGAACTCTAATTGTTCTCCTGCCTACTGGCTGGACACCCTAGTAGTACCCGTCCATCAAACTCTGTTGATACACAAACAAAAAATAATTCCATACTGCATCGGTCGTCGCGCAGGATGATCAGGACCGCGCTGTCCAATGCATCGAGCGGGGTGGATAGTGATAAGAGGCCTAATACTCAGACATCCCAACCTTTGTTTAACTCCTTGTCTTCTGTACCCAACACTCACTCTATGCCCCTTTTTCCAACCCGTAACATTCCCTCAGAGAGCTTGTTCGTCACTTGCCAAAGTTCGTCGCCAAGTAGCTCATTACGTAGTTTACCACAAAATAGATCGCAGATTCTGAAGCCTCGTCAAACACTGAATCTGCGGCCTTGAACGCGAGGACTCTGATGAAGGTAGGCCAACAAGCGTGTCTGATGCATACAATACTTCGACACCGTTTAGCGAGACAAATATCCGCAAAACAACAAGCAGGATTTCGAACAGGCCGAGGTTGTATCAATCAGATCTTTACTCTGCGTCAAGTCCTCGAGGTACGCCATACACACCGTCGGCCAACGGTTGTCGTGTTCCTCGACCTAAAAAGAGCCTTTGACTCAGTTGATCGTGAATCCCTTATGGGTTCCACCCTTTGTAAATGAATGCCGCAGAAGTACGTGAACATACTGAGTTCAATCTTCTCACTTCTTGGAGCGTAAGGGTCTGTGGCGAGCTGAGTAGGTCGTTCGTAACTAGCAGTGGTTTTCGTCAAGGGTGCCCTCTTTCGTCATTCCTGTTCAATTTCTTCATAGACGAAATACTGGGGAACACACTAAGTGGTCTCCAAAACGTAGGTACTGAATCGGTAGCTGGAGAAAAGCTGTGCGATTTGAAGTACGC